CAGTGAAAGGAGACTGTGGGAACCCCTCCATTGGCATCTTCTTCTTCTGCAGCTACATCATCATCTCCTTCCTCATCGTGGTGAACATGTACATTGCCATCATCCTGGAGAACTTCAGCGTGGCCACAGAGGAGAGCAGCGAGCCTCTCTGTGAAGACGATTTTGAAATGTTTTATGAAACTTGGGAGAAGTTTGACCCAGATGCCACCCAGTTCATCGCCTACAGCACCTTGTCTGACTTTGTGGACACCTTGCAGGAGCCACTCAGAGTTCCCAAGCCCAACAAGATCAAACTTGTCACCATGGACCTACCAATGGTTGCTGGGGACAAAATCCACTGCCTAGACATCCTCTTTGCCCTGACTAAGGAAGTGCTGGGAGACTCAGGAGAGATGGATGCCCTGAAGGCCACCATGGAGGAAAAGTTCATGGCTGCCAACCCCTCAAAAGTTTCCTATGAACCCATCACCACCACCCTGAAGAGGAAACATGAGGAGGTCTGTGCTACCAAGATCCAGAGGGCTTTCCGGAGATACCTCCTGAGGCGCTCGGTGAAACAGGCGTCCTACATGTACAGGCACAGCCAGGACGCCCTGGGCGAGGACGCGCCCGAGAAGGAAGGACTGATCGCCACCAAAATGCAGGAGATCTATGGGAACACTGGGACAGACGTGGAGACAGCCCCTGCCTTGGGCCTCGAGCCCATTCCCAGCTCAGAGACACCTCAGGATGCTCCTGAGGAAGCACAGGCTTGGGCTAAGGAACGTGTGGTGAAGGAATCGCTGGTGTAACACAAGGAGATTCCACCTCTGGCCCAGCCTAAAGAGACTTCATTTGTATCTCCTGTTCAAAGCTCTTCCATGCACAGATCTCTAGATCTTAGATATTGAGCTAATTTCACATATTTCAAGCAACCACCTTGAATTTCAAAGCAGGATCTCCTCCTGATCCTGGGTTTTACTGCCCACTGCACTTGCAAAGAGTTTAATTCTTTTTCTTATGAGAACTCAAATGTGAAATCTGTTGTCAGTGAAAGAGATACAAGTTAGTTTTGAAATGATCTCAGCACAGCAACGATGGTCTTTAGGCACGAACAGAAGAGTATGGTTGTCCTTTCACTTAAAGTAATTATTTATTAATGTTATTTCACAATTAAGAGATTTTCCTGTAATTTATTCTTCCAGAGTGCAGCCAAGCAACCGGTGAAAGATGAGCCAAGTGAAATAATATTAAGAATAATTACGGAAAACAGAAGGGTTTGTGAACAAAAATCTCCAAAGTCTTAAAGTAGCACCTTTCTTTTGAACCTCTGAATAAGCTTGATGATTAGTTTTTGTTACATACAAGAGAAAGTGCAATTATGTCTTAAAAATTGGTTTGCAAAGCCAAAGCAAAGCATCTGCAGATTTGTTCTCAGGGTTAAATATCAGGTTTTCAAAGTCTCTGAATATGCATTGAAACCAGAAATCATTCAGGTCTCTGTAGGACAAATGTGAACACTGTTTATAGTTAAATGTTTTCCCATTTCCATCCACGTTTTGTGGCAGGAAAGCAATGGGCAAAGGCAGGGTTTGGAAAACATCCTCCAAGAATCCTCAGTTCCCAGGACAAAACTCTCCAGGGTTTTTTTCCTAGCCCTGTTGCAAGAGTGCTCTTGGTTGGAGTTCCAAATGTCCTCTTCCTTAGTGTTAATTAATGAGATGCACCCCCAGGGATCGGAGCAGATGTTTGAATGATCCTTTCCACGAGCTGCTTTAGGGGTGCCCTAAATCCCAGCCAAGCCCCAGGTGGCTGCATGTAATAATCAATCCCATTGGGGTGTGAATCCCAAAATCCTCAGGCAGAGCATCCTTCCCTAGGCTGGGGCTGCGGAGAGGCCCCGGTGGCACATTCTGGATGGGCCAGGCAGGTCCTCACCAGGAAACCTCCAGGCAGAGGAGCGTTTTCCCAGTGGGAAAATGGATTTGTTGTTCTTCACACACGTGAGCAGAAGGAAAGTAGATTAAGGAAAATGGCCCTGGCACAGCTGTGGCTGCCTCTGGATCCCTGGAAGTGCTCCCAAGGCCAGGTTGGACAGGGTTTGGAGCACCCTGAGATAGTGGAAGGTGTCCCTGCCATGGCAGGGGTGGCACTGGATGAGATTTGAGGTCCTTCCAACCCAAACCATTCTGTGATTGTGTGAAAAATGGGGCAAAAGGCCCCAAGTTCACCTCTGACCACCTTCTGCCTTCAAGGGAAAAAAAACCCTCTTGAGATCAAAACAATCATGAACCAAAACCTCTTCCAGTTCAAATAAGTGCTGCTCCTGAAGCCAAAGGCTCTTTCTTTTTGTACTCTGATGATTCTCTTCTCTTCCCGGGCTGCTTTGGGCGCTGCCATCACGGCCAGGCCGGCCGGGAGCGGTGCTGAGTTTGGCTTGGACCCATGAGCTGCCAGCCAGGTGGCAGAGCCAGGGGCATTTGGCTCGTCCCATGGCCTTGTGCTCTCATTTCCATGTCGATGCTCTCTGCAGCAGGAGCCTGAACTGCTGTCGCTGGCGTTTCCATGGGAAGCATGCCTGGCACGGCAGTACCTGCCCGGATCATGGTTCACAATCGATGCTGCTTCTACATTTGTGTCATCAGGTATGGGGAAATGCCCCAGAGCAGGTTTTGTGTGAGCTAAAGCCATTTTTCTTTGTACATTTCTTACAATAAACAACTGTAAATGATCTGTTATTACGATACCAAGTGTGCTGGGGTGTCTTGGGACAGGAATGTTTTCCCAGCACTGGGAGGGATGAACACCCCTTTCCTTGGCTCCCTGTTCTTGGCCTTGGACCTGCCAACCTCAGCAGGACCCTGGGGGTCTCATCCTGCACAGGGGGCCCCAGGGCTGTCCCCCAGAGCTTCTGCTCTGCTCATCATCCCATCCCCAGGCCCCCGGTGCTGGCTGACACCGGGAGCCCCAGGAGACGCCGCTGTGGGAGGGTTTGGAGGAGGTTCAAGCCCCGAGTTCCCCACACAGGCTCCAGCCCCACCCGCGTGGGAGCAGGCGAGCATCACTGGGAGAGGACAGGGGTGGGTGAAGGAGGTTCTGCGTCAGCCAGGAGCCGCCCCCGGGCCCCGCTGACGTCCCTGGGGGACTGCTTGCCGCTGTTTTTGCTGCCACTGGAACAGCTCGTCCTAGGGCAGGCAGGCAGTGCCACGCAGGTGGGGGCTGCAGGGGAGGGGGGCGCAGCCTGGACACTGTGAAACCCAAACCCAAATGAATAGGGAAGGGCTGGGGAAGGTGGGGAAGGTGCAGCTGCAGGCAGTGGCTCTGCTCTGCAGGCCATGGAGCCAGAGGGGCCATGGGGAAGAGGCGTGGGGACATGGGACCCTCCCCATGGGTTCCCCTACAGCCCATGTAAGGGTTGCTGTAAGCACAGGGGTCTCCAGGAGAGACCAAGCCCCTCTGTGCCTTTTAAGGGTGCCAAGGAGCCCTCAGGCAGCACAGGGGCTGATTTGGCCACTGACACAGCAAACCCTCTTCAGTTTGTGCCCCACTCCTGGTTTTACCTCACAGGGCCTTCCCAGGCACCTCCAGCATCCCGGCTCCCACCTGCAGCCCCAGCTCCCCCAGCCCCCCACAAAAACCCCTCCAATGCCTGCCAAGCATGTGGGCTTCCCTTTCCCTTTGCCCTGCTGGGACATCAGGGCCAGGCTCTACTCTTCCAGCCAGACCCAGGGATGATGGCAGCAGGGACTTGGCAGTGCTGTCCCTATGTACAGAACCAGGAGAAGGCACCTCTCCCATCATCATTCCCTCATGGAGCCAGTTTTTCCCTGGAAAACTTTATTTCTCCTGCTTCCTGGCCCTTTGCATGCAAAGTCAGGCTGGGGCTGGTTCCCAGCACCCATCAGATGCTCAGAACTGGCAAAAAACCAACCCAGCCTGCAGAAGATGAAGGTTTGGGGAGGCCCCAGGCAGTGGCACCAGGCTCTGGGGACCATGCCTGGCAGAAGAACCCAAAGGTGTTTCTCACTGGAGTTACAGTTCAGTGCTTACCCACAGCCGGTAACGAGCAACAGCCAGGGGGGCAGAGCCTGGGGGAAACTGCTTTTTCACCAGAACTCACCTTGGCCGGGCTCCTTGTGCTTCCCTGGGGCCTGGCTCTCAAGGGTCCCATGGAGAAGGCTCTTGGAAGTGGCAGATGGGGTGTGGAGAAGGGGTGGGCATGGCTGGCACCCAAGTGACTCCTTATTTTGGCCATTTTCCCCTCTCATCTTACTGGAAGTGCTCACAAAACATTGGATGTGGCGCTTGAGGACATGGGTTCATGGTGATCATGATGGTGCTGCTGAGCTGATAATCCTAAAGGTCTTTTCAAACCATAGTGATTTTGTGACTGACTCATGTTTCTATGATTTTAGATTTCTGGACTCCCTGGGGTGTAGGAATGGGAGCTGAGGGACCCATCCCACTGCATCCCACAGCAACAAGCAGCCCCACAAACATCCCCTGTTCTTATCCCATTCCTGCTGCAACTCTTGGCTTCTGGGCCACCATCAATCCCTGCCTGTCCCTTCCAGGCACAAACACCCTGGGGGGGTCTGGGTGGAGCTGAGGAGAAACCCTGGCCATCATGCCCATCCTGTCCTGTCCCCCAGGGATGTGTCCAGGCAGCACCAAACCCATTCCCTGGGCACATCTCGTGCTCAGCCCTGCTTTGGCACCTCCTGCTTGGCAGATGGGCTCATGGCCAGCTCTGCTGCAGGTCCACACGGGCCCTGGCCACCCCCAGGGAATATTGGCACCACTGGGAGCCAGCGGGGGACACGAGGGCGGGCAGTGCCCAGGGACACGGAGATGGACAATGCGGAGGGGCAGGAGGATGGATGAAGAGCAGGGAGCCGGGGCTGGATGGTGCCCAGCCCACAGGCACAGCCGCCCCAGCGTCTGCACCGCATTCAAAACCAGCCCCGAGGGAAAATCCCCAGCGGGGAGGATTTACATGAGCAGGAAAGGGGCCGTGCAGAGCAGCAGCTTTGCCATTTTTAGGTGCTGTAGGCAGGGTAGTGGGAGCAGCCGCTGCTTTTGCAGAAGCACAGGGTGGATGTTTCCCTGGCCTGGGCACTGAAATATGGCTGATCTGGGCACGAGGCTCTGGCTGCTGCAGGTGACCCTCTGGCTGCTGGCTCTGCTCACAGGTAGGCTCCAAACAGGGGTTGCACTTCAGAGCAAGGAGCCAGGACAATGGTGTGTCCCCTGCTCAGGGGCTTCCCCCCAGCTCTGCCTCTCAGGGCAATGATTTTAAGCTTTGTGCTGGTCTCTGTCAGTCCTGCTCTGTGCTGGGAGCCTCCCGGGGAGCCCCGGAGGGCACACAGGGCTCGGAGCTCAGTGCCTGCCTCGGGTTTGGCTTTTGCTTCCCTTGGGGCCGAGCAGGCAGGACACGTTCTGGGGCACGCAGGTGGCTTTGGCCGAGTCAGTGCAGAGCCAGCCTGGCTGGGGCTGCAGGTGACAGGAAAGAAGGGTTGTTGAGGTTTTTTAACCATTTATTACTCTCAGAGGCCTGGGGATGGAGCTGGCACATTGCCCAGCCACATCTCTGCTCTGTGGGATTCAGTGCCCAGGAGCAGAGAAGAAATGGGAGGAAAAAGGCTTTTGGGGTGATTTGTGGGGTCTGTGAACATCTCTGCACTGTTCCTCTTGGAGAAGCAGTAACAAAGCCCAGGACACAGCTCCTGGCCCCTTCCAGCTCCTCTTGCCTGATGCAGGGACAGCTGCAAGAACCTGGAGCAGATCCCACCCTCAGAGGACAACGTGTGCCCAGGGGATAAAGGGCTCCTTTGGCACCCACACGAGTCCAGCATGGATTCAAGGCTGCAGGCTTTGAACTTTGCTCTCACGATGCCTTCGGGAGAGGACAGGGGAAGTTCCCTTTGTCACCTGTGGCTGCAATGGAACTCCTGACTGGGGGGGGTGTGCAGGCTTTCAGGTGGGGAACCAGCCTGGTCTTCCTTTAGAAACACCAACAGAACCTGGAGGGAAAGCCTTGGCTGGTGGCACTGCAGGTGACAGGGACACACAGCCAGGGCACAGCCAGGACAAAGGGCATCTCCCATCCTGAAAAAAACTGGAATGGGGCTAGAAGGGAGGATTTGCCTGCAGAGGTGTCGGTGCTGAATGTGAACAGTGCAGCAAGGACCTGGAAGGAGCTCTGGGACAATGAGAGGAGCCCCTGTCCAAGCCAGGAGGTCCCTGCAGGCTGGGAGTCTGCAGGAGGGTGGCAAAAAGCTCAGGCTGAGGAACTGAATCTTTTTTCTTTTTCTGTTCCTTTTTCTCTCTCTGGGGATGGGGAGGTTTGCAGCTGCAGGGAAGTGCTGCAGCCCCAGCCCCGTGCCAGCTCCTCCAGGGGGTTTGGTGACTCTCCATCGAGAGGAGGGAGCTGGGCACTCAAGCAGGGCAGTAAACAGGGCTGGGCTTCCTGCCCAGCTGCAGCAAGAGGAACCAGGCCCAGCAGCACTGGAGCTGTGGGCAGGGCACCCGTGGGTGCTGGGGGGGTCCCCAGCTCACCCTGCTTCCTGCACTGCAGGTCCCACTGCACCAACCCACAGCCCTTGTCCTGGGGGGCTGAGTGGCCCCAGGACCTGGGAACACCCCTGGCCATCACAGGGCTCTGAGCCCAGGAATTCCCAGCAGGGAAGGGTTTCTGGTTGGTTCAAAGAGTGGAAATGCAGAGCTGGGAGTATCTGGAGTATTCTTGAGAGGCATCAGCCTCGGGGACCTTATAGAGTGCATGTTTCACTGGGGTATTGACCAAAAAACAACCTGGAAAATTTTCAGGAGACAGGATGGAAATGGAAATGGAAGGGTTTGTACCCAAACCTGCACTGCCCCAGGTGTTCTGAGCAGGGCTCCTCAGAGCTCCATCCATATGGAGTGGGCAGGGCACATCCATCCCACCAGGGACATCCTCGTGGGCTCCTGGCCACCACCTCAGGCCCTCTCCTGTCTTGCAGGTGGGACCTCAGCAGAAGAGACCAACACTGGAAACAGCACAGGTACCCTCAGACCTGTCAGGCCCTTCCCCTGTGTGTGTCCCCAGGGTCCCTCCTGTCCCCAGAGAGCCACTGTCCCACCACCCACAGGCCTTTCCCCCCACACAGGCCATTCCCAGGCTGTGACATCCCTCATGGCTCATCCCCAATCCTGCACCTCCCTCTCCCTCTGCAAAGTTGGATCTGCTTTGTCTTTCCTGAGCACCCCCAGGTTTTCCCTCTGCCATTGCTGCATGACCAAGTCTGGGACCAGCACTGACCTGTGCCATTGTCCTTGTGCCATTCCTACCCATAGGGCTCTGAGGGTGACCTCTGCAACCCAAATGGGCTTTCAAAGTCACCACTATGGGACTAAAACATGGCCAAAAAATACTAAATAAAGCAAAAGGCAAAAAAAGAAAGTGGAAGCAAAAGAGAAACCAGCTGGAATTCTGCAGGCTGTAATTTTGGAGCTGGGATTAACTAAATGTGCACAGAGAGGGGAGGGAGCAGGACAGAAGAATTCCCACAGAAAATTTGAGTTTCCATTAAAAGCAGACTTCCACCAAAAGCCTCAGATCTCATAGAATCACAGAATATCCAGATTGGAAGTGATCCACAGGGATCACCCAGTCCCACTCCTGGCGCTGCCAAGGACACCCCCACAACCCCACCCTGTCCATCCCTGGAGCTCTGTCCAAGCTCTCCTGGAGCTCTGGCAGCCTCGGGGCCGGGACCATTCCCTGGGGAGCCTGGGATGAGGATAATTCACCAAAACCAAGCCGGATTCTCAAAAGCAGCATGAAAATGGGAAACTCTTTGTTCGGGAGGTGCCGGGGGCTCTCACGGGAGCGGCTGCAGTGACAGCCTTGTCCCCTGCAGGTGGCAGGTGTCCCCCGGTGTACCAGAACCTGCGCTACGTGGCCGTCAAGAAGAACATGCCCATCTACCTCATCTGCTACTCCCAGGAGCCGCAGATCATGCAGTGGTACAAGACAGCAGAGGACAGGGATGACCTCTCTGTGCTGGATCAGAACATGCCTGGCTACAGCATCGAGAGGACGAACGTCTCCATCAACCTCACCCTCTTCAGGACCAGCTACAAGGACAGCGGGATCTACGTGTGCGACAGGAAGGGTGTGGCGAGGAAGGAGCAGCTGCACTCGTGTGGGACAGAGCTCCGGGTCATGGGTGAGTGGCAGCTCCCCATGCTCCTGCACCCCAGGAGATGCTCTTTCTCCTCTCCCATTTCCCCCTCCATATAAACCCCACACGGTGCTCTCACACCTCCTCCTCTCCCTGTGCCGGTGGGACCCTCTCCAGCCCAGCTGTGGGTGCTCTATGGCACCACAGAGGTTCTGCTCCTCACTGCCAGCCCCAAGGAGCTGTACAACTTCCCTGGGTCTGCCCTGGCATGTCCATCCTGCAAAAAACAGGATGTTCCTCTAATAAATCAGCTTTGTCCTGCTCCTGGTGACTGCTGGGTGCTGCCCAAGGTGTCCCATGCCAGAGCTGGTCCCCAGTGCCAGTCCTGGGGGCAGCTGCAGTGCTCTGGTCTCTCCCTGGTCCCCACATCCCCCCTTTGTGAGCCACTCTGGCCATGCCAAGCGAATCCCTCTCCCTGCAGCCTGGCACAGAGGTGAGACCTGGGCTCTCCCTGTGCTGTTGCTCCCAGGTACCACCAGCATCAAGCAGATCCAGAACAGGAACACTCTGAAAGACGCCATCATCATCATCCAGTCCATCATGCTCGTCATCTTCATCAGCATCCCCATCCTCCTCTTCCACGATAAGGCAAGTGACAGTGACTCCAGCAGAGGGGACGTCCCCAGCTGGGCTCAGTGTCCTGCAGCGTATCCCAGGGCATGGGATGGGTTTGGGGTTGTGGGTGGGAACCTGGATATCTGAAGTGGAAACAAAACCATCTCAATTGCTCCGTGGGGACTCCGTGGATGTGCCTGTGGAAGCGGTGGGACCTGGCCCGGGGGACCAAAGCTGAGGACAGGGGATCCTGGAGGGTGCTGACACCAATGTTTGACTCTCCACAGGGTGAAGAGAAGAAAAGCCCAGAGGAGGACCACACCTATGAGGTAATTAATGATAGCAGGACCTTCCTAACACCACCCTGAGCCTTGGCACAAGGGGTTGTGCTGATTATCTGCTGGGGAGTCCAGCAGCCACTTCCTTGGGAGGAGGATCAAGGCACCTTCTTCCCAAATTCCACATCAGCTGTGCTGAGCTGCCCAAGAAGCAGCCAGTGCACATCCAGCAGCCGACATCCAGCCATCTCCATCCTCTCTCCCTGTCAGAAGCTGCTCTGGTCTCAGGGGGAACAGCCTGGGAGGGTCCCCAGCTGGGTGTTCCCAGGGATGTGCTGTGGCTGGAACCTCCTCCCATGTCCCACCATCCTTGTTGTTGCTGCAGGGGCTGGAGGTGGAGCAGATGGCCACCTACGAGGACATCACTCCTTTCCGGGACGTGAAGGCCAAGTGGGCAGTGGGGGAGCACCCAGGTGAAGAGTGAGGGGTCCTGCACCCTCTGCCAGGCCCTGCCAGCCCCCGTGGGGACGGATCCCCTGGAGCTGCCTGGATCCTGGATGCTGGGCTGCATTCTCCGCCTGCAAACACCTGCACAGCCCAGCTCAGGGCTGGGAGCCTGCTGCCCTCAGTGCTCGTGTCCAGGCTGTGTCACCGAGGCTGTCCCTGTCCCCACCCCACAGACCAACCCTTAAAGCCTCTGTAGAAATTAGGAGCCACCTGTGATCCCCCAGTAGCAAACTGGTCCCACAGCCTGGGCAGCCCCACACCCAGCACTGAGCTCCAGCCTGGCCATTGCCATGGAAGGACTGGGAATGAGGGCTCTGCTCCAGCCCCACCAGCCTGGGAAGGACAGGACCGGGCACTGCAAGGACACTGCCAATAGCACTGCGTGGGTGTTGTGAGAAGCAGATTTGGGGACACTCTTCAGCTGTCAAAGCTGTGTCCACAGGCCCAGCTGGCAGAGGTCTGAGGTGGAGGATCCCCCAAAAGCAACTCTTTTTCTCCAAAGACTGTGGAAAAGCTGGGGAGAAAGGTCTCACCCAAAGGCCTGCTGCTCTCCAGGCAAGAGCTGGCCCCTGTCACAAGGTCATCCCCATGGGGAGGGACATGTGTGACCTCAGAACATCTGGAAAAGTTGTAAATTGTGGGTCACAAACCTCCAACTGCTTTGGAAACTCTAATAAAGGTAATGGGTAAATCCTCATCCTGCTCCATCCTGCCATGCCCATTCCAGGGGTGTCCCATAACCCTGGTGCTGATTTCCTGGGAATAACGAGCAGCTTTTTGGGTCCAGCGTAGCTGGAAACCGAACTTCACCTCCTCAAACTTCACCCTGAGGGCAGGCAGGGATGGACAGCCAAGAGCAGATATGAGGCTCCTGTGGGGACCTCAAAAATCCCAAAACATCAGCTTGGGATTGGAAAGAGAATCACCAGGATCCAAAGCAGGAGAACGGGGTCCAGGACCAGCAGCTCTGCTCTCAGCTAAATATGGTCTTGAAGGAGAAGCTAAAAGACATCTGGAGACTGGGTTTGTAAAGAAATGATTTTGGCGTGGCAAGTGGTGGGATCAGAGCCAGCCAGGAACCCAAACTGGGGCTGGGGGGGCACAGTGGGGGTGGGAGCTTGGCTGAGCAAGGGTGACAAGGACATTGTGGTTCAAACTGTCCCCTCTCAGAGAACCCAAGGCCTCTGTGTCCTGATGTTTCATGACATTTTGGGCTCCAAGAAGCTCCTGCAACTGCTCTGCACCCCAAAAACAGCCAGAGGAGGGTAATATTCTAAGCAAAAACGGCTTTTCAGAAGTAACAGGATGGTTCTTTACCAGTAAAGTACCTCTGTAGGAAACTGGAATTCAATTTAAACAGCACAAAGAACAGAATTTTAAAATTTATTTTTACTAGTTAAATAGAACTACCCCAAATTAGTTCTGCTACATATATATAAAAGTTATTTAAGCATATTTTACTTATAAAATGGGTTAATTTAAAAAAGGAGCATTCACAGGGAGAAAAAAGAACTGGCTGCTCCTGGTTGCCACATTTGCCAAAATTTTAGGACAGAGCTCATCCCTCCATTCCTTGTTTTCAGTTTCCAAATGGAAGATGGAAGTTTTTTCTGGCCTTCCCAGCTCCAGATTCTTCAATTTTCCTGAGTGCAAACAACTCAGTCAAGTGACTAAACAGAATAATAGAAAAAATAAAGAAAATTTGCTGTTTGCACCTGGTGAGGAACCACTGATGTCAAAAGCAGTTTTTGTGACCCCAGTCCTGCTCTGCTGCTCCCTCAGCCCAGGGCTTTGGCCTCCTTTAAAATGGCATAAGTAAATAAATATTTCTGTACTGTTGTTGGTTTATTTGAAATGCTTGGAGTAGTTTCCAAGGAGCCTGGAGATGGAGGTTGGTTTCTTTCTATATTGAGAGTGGTTTGTGTTTAAAACACATTTAATGTAAATAAATATTTCAGTATATACAGCCCAGGCTCTGTATTTTGTCCTGATTTCTGTCATCGAATGATGGAATCATTCAGGCTGGAAAAGCCCTCTAAGATCATTGTGTCCCCCAGCACTGCCAAGGCCACCACTGACCCCTGTCCCCAAGTGCCACATCCACACAACTTTTAAATCCTTCCAGGGATGGGGACTCCAGCACTGCCCTGGGCTGCTGTGCCAGGGCTGGACACTCCCTTCAGGGAAGGAATTTTCCCAATATCCAACCTAAACCTCCCCTGGCACAGCTTGAGGCTGTTTCTTCTTGTCTTTGGGAGAAGAAAGCGAGCCCCACCTGGCTACAACCTCCTTCCAGGTAATTGTAGGGAGGGAAAATCCCTGTTTTCCATTGGGATGCTCAGGCAGACAGGTGGGGTTGCTCCTGGGGAGCTGAACCTGTGGGTTCAGCCTCATCTTTCCACAGGAGTTCAGTGAAACTCAGCACTTCCAGCTCTGGTAAATAATCCCCATAAATCTGAAATGGAAATTCCCCTGGTGCAGTGAGTTAAGAGAGATAATCCTGCACACCTAAACCTCTGCAGAGCTGGGCTCTGGGTCAGGATTCCCCCAGGCTGGGGAGCCTCCAGAAAAAGCTCTTTCACTTATTTAAAAGCACAGGGAAAGGTGGGTGCACACGGGGCCATCCTGAAAAGAACGGAGGGGATTTTTCTCTTCCAAGGGATGTGGAAATCACGGAGTGTGATTCTGCTTTAGATGGGATGCTGTGGCTTGGGAAAGCAGGGATCGGAGAGCCAGAAAATGGATATTTGGCAGCCGCTTATGCAAGCTGGGCTCTGCCCGGCCCGGAGCTCCTCATGAGCCGCTTCTGCCTCATTTACTGCCCAGACAGCGCTGGGGACAAAGGCAGCCTCGGGCAGCCCTCGGCACAAATCGTGTGGATTTAGCCCCGCTGGCAGCAGCAGAGCTGAGCAGGACACGCAGGAGCTGCAGTGACACAGCAGCAGCTCTCACCCCTGAGCAGCTCTGACACATCTCAACACGACCTGCTGCAGAAACACAAAAACACGCCCAGATGTGCGGGGTGGGCTCATCCCTGAGCAGCTCTGACACATCTCAACACGACCTGCTGCAGAAACACAAAAACACGCCCAGATGTGCGGGGTGTCGGGACACCCGATAGCGGCAGCACCCGCTGTTCCCTCTGCAGCTGGGACTGACATTTCCCTGTGACACCAGCGCGTCTCCAGCAGCAACAGCTGGGGCTTCTCGGAACAGCCCTGCTCTCTCATGTTTATCGAGCAGAGATCCTCTCTCTGCTCCAGCAGCTCCAGCGGCTCCGGGGCTGATGCTGCTGCTTGCAAACAGAAGCCACACACAGCAAAGCCGGGTCCTGGGGGAGCCAAACCAACCTCCCGACACAGGACACCCCCTGAACACCCTGTGGTTTGGGGAAATGGGGGCTTTTAGAGTAAAAGTCCTTTAAATACCGCCTGGAGCTGCCCATCCCAGGTTCTGTTTTTCTCAAGGGATGGATGGGCTGTGTCCTCTCTTCTTCAAGGCCAGGCTGGACGGGGCTTGGAGCAGCCTGGGACAGTGGAAGTGTCCCTGCCCATTGCAGGGGGTGGCACTGGATGAGCTTTAAGGTCCCTTCCAACCCAAACCACTCCATGATTCTCTGATTCCATCTTCCTCATCTCCTCTTCCCCATCCCTCCTATCTCCTTTCCACACCCTTACTCTCCTCAATCCCACAGTATTTCACGTTTGCGTCTCAGGCAGGAGCAGGAAGGTGTTCATGACCAGGTTTTCCCAGAGCCTTGTCCAGCTGAGGATCAGAGAAAGCTCCCAGAGCTCTGGATTTTCACTGGGCAGGTTGGAATCCAAACCAGCACCAGGGCAGGACAGCTCCTTGTCACACCTGTGACAAACCAGCTCAGCAAAAGCGTTTGCTGAACTTTTGACATTTTGGAAGAAATTGGAAGCAATTCCTTGTCAGAAATAGGATTCATCTGACAATATCCAGCCAGCTCTATCCCCACAAATAATAGAGAGAAAAACATCACAGAATTTTGTGTGATAATCCTTTAGGCTGGAAAAGGTTTCTAAGAGCATCAGTCCAGGCATTCCCCCAGCACTGCCAAGGCCAGCACTAACCCCTGTCCCTGAGTGCCACATCCACACAGCTTTAAATCCCTCCAGGGATGGGGACTCCAGCACTGCCCTGGGCACCTGTGCCACAGCTGGACAACCCTTTCAGGAAGAACTTTTCCTTAATATCCAACCGAAACCTCTCCTGCTGCCACTTGCCACTTCCTTTAAGCCAGAAATGTCTCATGCTGGCCGGTCAGCCCTGGGACCTGTGGGCCAAGGCTGCAGAGCCAGGCAAGAACATCAGGAGGACACAACCAATTCCACCATGATCTGATTTGGGACGAGTCTTGCTGTGATGAGGAAACTTTTAATTGCAACAAACAGGAGAATTATGGCGAAATCATGGGGCACTGGTCTCATCCTGAGGCAAACAAAGCTGCCCAAGCTGCACATCTGTGAAAATGCCTGTGATGAGGTAGCACCACCGTGAACACTTGTGCATTTATGCAGGGGGAATGTGCAGAGCTGTTGTTGTGATCATGAACACACAGATCCATTTTAAACAGACCCTCTGCTATATAAGGGGGGGCTCCACAGTTTCCTTGACCAGATGAAAGGAGGAAACATTCCCAACCAAGCCACACCTGAGCAACTCACCAGCAGAAATGGCTCCAGGTACATTTTATTTCAGTTTTAAAGGATCTCTAGTGCTGGATGTGTAGGGTGACAGGAGATGATGATGATGGGGTGGTTCTGTGCTGGGCTACACACACTCCTTGCCATCCCTAAATTAAAATAGGACAACTTCTAAATCCATGAAAAAGAAAACCTTTCCCTGAAGTGTGATTCTAATCCATGAATTAATCTTTAACCTAAGGTGGGCAAGGAGAGTGTTGAAAGGTGGGCAAGGAGAGTGTTGAAAGCTTGAAGAACAAGATCAAGCCACAGTTATAATAGTTACTATTACCATAAATGTTGGCAGGGATAGCAAAACTCATATTCCAAACTTCAGACAGAGATGAGGATAATGTCTAATAGTGTCCAGGTCCTACAGGCTCCAGGGTGTTCCTCGGCTCCAGGGTGTTCCTCCTCTTAAGGATCTTTCTTTGAGATGAGCTTTGTGGTCTGTGTGAGCACAGGTGGACACTTGTGTTGGATGTCATGGGCTGAAAACCTTTAGGCTTGGCCAAGATCAACAAATCCTAAAGGTGTGACCCAGGGAGCAAAAGCAGCTGGTCACAGCACAGGTGATGTCACAGCTCTTGTCCCTGTGAAGGCAGCGACAAGGGGAAGGGTTTTCCTAGGGGAAAACATGAGTGTGTCAGGGAAAACCATAGGGACACCCCTTAGTTTTCATGGAGCAAACAATTCCAGCCAGGAAGACACTGCTGGTCACACTGGGAGCAGCCCCAGCCTTGAGGGCAGGTCCAGTTCAAGGGTCTCCCTTGATTTTGGGGAGGGCTGAGCCCAGCCAGTGTCCAACAGGGCACCATGGAAGGTGAGTGTGGATCCAGCATGGGCAGAACAGGCTGGGAATGAATTCCCAGGTGGCACCTCCTTCTCAGCAGTCCCCAAGGACTCCCAACACCTTCCTCTCCACTTTGCAGGGTCCTGGATCTCTCCTCTGGCCATTGCTGTGATCACCCTGGGACTGCAGTGGCCACAGCCAGCTGCCACCTTCCCAGCCATGCCCCTGTCCAGCCTGTTTGCCAACGCTGTGCTGAGGGCTCAGCACCTTCACCTCCTGGCTGCCGAGACCTACAAGGAGTTTGTGAGTGCTGTGGCCTGAGGGCACCTCCTCTGTGTTTCCTTGATGGCTCCAGGACTGTAGAACTTCCCAGAGAATTCCCAGCTGTTGGTGTCTTTGCCAGCTCTCAGGGAGGAGAAAGAACTTTAAGAGAATAGGACAGGTTGTGTTCCACCAGCCTGGACACTGTCACCTCCTTGCCTCCTTGGGGCCATTTCCACCTGTGTCCAGACCCCCTGCACAGCTGGGAGGTGACACAGATATTTTGCTGGACTTCCCTGTGTTGGTCACTTTTCTCCCTGGGAGGGTCTGAGTGCTTCAACCCAGCAAGTGTCAGGAGCTGGCACGGGCTGTCCCTTTGGCACAGGCTGTCCCTGGGGATCGTCTCCTCCTTGGGAGAACCTGTCCAGGTGTGTTCTGTTCATCCTCCTCCTGCAGTTTGCCTGCAGCAGTGTCTGCCCACCCTTGTGACACCCTGTGGTGACACTGAGTCACCTGCTGCCCACGGGCACAACTGGCACTTACTGAAGAGCAGCACCTTGCCCTAGGGAAAGGGAGAGCTTCAGGGCAGCTGCTGTGCCAGCACACAAACTCCTGTTTCCCAGCTCTCCACCCTGTCCAGAGGCACCTCCTGTCTCCCATTTATTCCTTACAAAGAGGAACCATACAGGACAGCTTGGGAATTCTCTGTGCTCTTCTCCAGTCCACGGGCAGCAGACCTGAGTGTGTCTGGGATGTCTCCACAGGAACGCAGCTACATCCCAGAGGACCAAAGGCACACCAACAAAAACTCCCAGGTAGCCTACTGCTACTCAGAAACCATCCCTGCTCCCACGGGGAAGGAGGATGCCCAGCAGAAGTCGGTGAGTTCTGAACTGGGGCAGGCACAGACCTGTCTGTAGAGTCCCCACTGCAGGATCAGAGGGTTTCCACCTGTGAGACCTTTGG